CTCATGGTCGTGTCTGGCGCCAGTGTGTAAAATACCTAGAATCGTAGAGATGCGACCACAATCTCCAAAATCGTCCATCTGGTATGAATCATGCGAGTAAAATTGTTTTAATGTCATTTTCAGTGTTAAGTGAGGAGAGCCGCTTATCTCAATTACACGCTTTTTACAGCTTTTTGGAGCTGTCAGACGCTCATTAGTACGATTTACGGGACTAATCAAATCGCGTGTTTGAAATATTATGGAATTAAAACAGTGTCATGCTATAAATATTTATGCGGCCGGTGGTTCTTCGTGTTGCGATGCATTTCAATGCAGATGAGCGAATTACTACCGCTATTAAAGTCGCTTTCGAATTAATCACACTTTTTTGGTAATCTCATCCGGCAAAAATGCTTTTCTAATTCGCTACTCTTCCGATTAAAATGTAAGTGGGACATGGCTAGACACCTGATAAAATCTTTCGAATTAAGACCAATTCACACCAAATGCAATATTATTTTGTTTGATTTATTTACAGCGAAAATGTTACATTGCCACGAAGTGTAAACTATCAAATAAACCTCCACATTTAACATTTCCGTCAGACTATGACAAAATTATTAAAATTATGATATATGTTTTTGTGTTAATATGTGGGTCAAGTTTTAAATTTTGCGTCAACTTTCGTAGAAATTTTTTTCGCCGAATAGAAATTAGTTTTAAAGAAGAATAGTCGTAAAAATAATTAATAGCTGAATTAATTTTAAGCAACCTTTTGTCGCTTTGCTATTCTAATCTAAGCAATTTAATTTAAATAATTTTGCACTGAATCTTGTCATGCGGTGTTGACATAAAATGTAGCCGTGGACTGGTATGTTGCTATAGGGATATGGGAGATGTGGGAGTAGTAGTTCCTCCTCGAGCGATCTTTCTGCTACTGTTAAAATGGATTTTAATTTGACTGTAGAGTAATAAATTTGAAATTTTTGTTTTTATTTTTCCAACCGAGCATTCCATTTACCGTTTAAAGTGTCTCAAAGTGAGTGAATTAACCGGCCCATGTTGGAGATAAGCGACATCTGATACGATTATGAGGTCCAATTAACCGGCCCTCAATTTACAATTTGGAAAAAATATATAAGGGTGAAGCCGCATTTACCACTATCTTGTAATTGACCTACCAGTTCTACATGGGTGTAGCTAAGTAAGACTTTCCCAAATTTCCATATTGAGTCGTTCTCGACGTCTTTTACGTATATTACAAGAACGCATTACCATTACTTCTGCGTGAGAACATGTGCTAGGTGTTCGATAACATCAACCAAATCCACGTCTAATTGCAGCAAACGACACGTGTAATAAGATTCACTGGTACATTGAGAAACACCTTATCAGAGCGTTCGTGAAGTTATTTATCCCCTTGTTGTGCAATATGAAAAATTCCTCTAAATATTTGACGAGCTAACAGTGAAGCTGGCATTCGGAGATATCGCAACAATCCTCTTACGTGGTCAATGGATGATAATAGGGTGCCATTGAAAGGACCGTTTGTGGTGTTAAAAGGATTAGTGGACGTTTTGCTAGCGTCAGCTGCCTGCTGAATAGAGTCAAGGCACATTAGCAGCCGGCGATGACCACCCAATCTGATTGACCATTGACGCCTAGCTCTTCCACATTTCGCCATTCTACTGTGTTATTAGACAGTTTGCGCCTATTCATTAAATAATTTATGACTTTCCAGATAAGAGCCGAACTACCTTCGGATAAATGTCACTCGAGGAAGCTCAAAAACAATGCAGAAATTACTTTCAGTTTTTTCAATTAGCTTTCTATTGTTGAGAGGCACTACATCTGGCGAAAATTCTCTAAACAAAGTAAAACTACATATTTACCAATCTCTCACGGGAGGTATTGAAATGAATGTAAACACTGCTCTGCAAATTTTCACTTTTTTCAAGCTTTCCTGAAGTAAAGCTCTACTTTCAGAATCGGGGTTAGGTAAACAGGTTGTCTCTGCTACAATAAATCCGTCTTAAAGGTTTCAGTAGCGGCGCCAAGGTGCATTTGCGTGTTACATAATTTTCATGTAGGTATTATCGCGTGTAGAGCACATTAAAAAGTGAGGATGATTGTCGGGCCTCAGGTTATATGCGAAGATTATTTTATTAAGTGGTGCTTTATGTCGAACGACTCTTACTAACTAAAAACCGTCATGCTGTGTACACATTCTCGATTTTCAACACATTTACGATATTTATTTATTACAGCAACATTTTATTTTGAATTCAGAAAAAACCGCCTGTATTTGCATATTATTAAGTAATATTCTGGCTGAGACACGCAAGACACTATAGCGCAACCTATAATGTCTAAATTTGATGTTATTAATTAGTCGATCTTATCGGCACTACATGAATATTCTGACGTCTTTGCACCCATCAAGCCTTTACTTTTTTCAGCACTCTCCAAATTATTGATAACTCTATTCTCGATGCGAGAGTTGTTATTTAAAAGCGATTAAAGGTGAAATTGCGACACGTTTTGTTAAATTGCACATGTGAAATTACAAGTTACGAGCTTCAACTCACCACCACACACGATGATTTTTTATGGGAAACGTAGTGGTGTTAACTAGTTTTTAATGTTTTTCAGTTCTTAATGAAGATGTGCACGGATTGAACGGTCAAAATGTTAACGATCTTTATGGCAGGTGCTAATTACTACCATTTTCGTTTAAATAGAGACGGTTTGCATCATTGCACTACGATTTGTTTAGCTCTAAAACAATTAACTTTTGTTAGCAGAGACGATTTACTTAGAACGACTCCACGAACGGTGACCTGAGGCAACCAGACTTGCGGTTTTCAAAATCTATTAGCTGAACTGGACCTATTCATCATTTTTATTAACTCAACTGTAATCAGCAAATTACATTTCAATTATTTCATCAATAAAATTATAAAACTTGTTTCCAACTGGTATTTTTTATGGAGGTATTTCCTTACTTTGCAGCAGATTTGACCATAAAAACCAAAAGGTGACAGCGAGTAAACAACAAATAATATTATGATCACCTACTTTTTTGTTTATGCGAATGAAATTAATACAATAAGATTGAATTTCAATGGAAAATACTATTTCGCGGACAGATTTCGTTTCAACAACCGCAATGACCGATAGGAATGGTATAATTTAACTTACGGAAGTAAAATTGTTTTTAAAGGTCTGACTAACTTCAATGATTCATATGGTTGGTTAAATGACCCAAAGTGTTACTAGTGGTCAAACACAACGTAAAATTTAAAGGCGGTTTAGGAAAACAGTGATAATAGTATCTCAACAGGATTCAGTGCTTTAGTTGATAAATAAAAAATTATATAATGTCAGAAAAGAAAGTTTTTTAAAGTATGGTTTGATAAAGCTTTGCATGATATTTAGCTCTACAAAATAAAAAGCAACTGGTAAATGGAATATAAAGCAGTTATTTAATTGCAAACTTGTTTACTTCAATTTTTAAAAGGTTTTTTTGCGTCAAAGTCTGATGCAAGAAAAGTAATACAATTTATGAAATTGAGTTTCACAGATTATTATTACTGATATTTTGAACCTACTGAAATTGTCATGATGCACTGAATAAATCTCAGCCTGACTGTTCTGAAACGTGTCTCGTGGAGAGCTTTTGAGCTCTTTTTGGAGCTTTATTTTCCGGTCCAAAAAGTGAGTGTGATTCCAGTGTTGACACTGTTGACACTTGAGTTGTACAAGCAGGAAGAGTTGTTTTAAGACGTGCTGTCATTGCTGATGATTGATAACGTGAGCAAGCTATTAACCCGTCCAGACCTAGTATAGTGGCGGGGGCGCCACATTATCGCTCCTTGTTTCGTGATTGACAATCATAGACATACATGTCTTCACATGAAAACAGATTTTTCATTAGTGGCGCCTATGCAAATTTTCATCTTCGATACATAAATAAGTGGATAAACTGGCCTTTAAATGGGACTCGTGTTTTACCATGTGTTCCGTGAGATTTAATGCGATTATACTTGTGATGATCTAAGTTTAACAAATAAGGGGATTTTGGGAATTTGTAAAACATTTGCGAATATGACTAACTTTAAAGGAGATTTATAACACATTGACGAAATTTTTTCACATTTTTATGCTAGTTTTAATCATGTCATCATTTGGTGTGCAATTCTGCAGTATGTGAGTTTCTGTATTACAATTAATAAAAAAATATTTCTAAAAGTAATGGATTTTTTGTGACCAACCCAAGCACACGCTTGTGCCTTGTCAGATATCTTATCAAAGAAAAACCGTTTATTCTATCTGACGTTAAGGTTAGCTTATGCAATGTTGTATCTCGTACATTGCCACAGCAGCATCTCTAAACTTCAATATTTTTTGCGCGATCAGACTAGACGACCACAATGTCGGAATCACTACTTGTAACAAGTGTGCAATTAGGACTCGCGTTTGGTCGATTTAATAATGAAATCCGGCGCTAAATGTCGGGACGCCAGTCACACTTTTTTTCATATTGGCGTCGTCATACATGCCACATTGTTCCACTTCATATTTAAAGTATGAATAAACTAGTAGCGTTTCAGTGGTGGCACGTGCTCTAGTCTGAAAACGCTCCAAGTTTGGGGCATGGAACAATCCGCAAAACTGAAAAGACTTTGGTAAATTATTTTTCGTTTATAAAACACATAGGTGCCAATTATTTACTAACTAATAGTAACTTCAATAAGTAATTGACCGAAACAATAACATTTTGATTTTTGTACTTATTTATTGTTTGTATGACGTCTTTTCTTCATTTCGTTTTATTCAGAACTGCATTACTGAAATTCTTCATCTTTATGCGCTATAAAATAATAATTGTATTGTGTTTGTACCGGACTATTACATCACAATTATTGCGTTTGTGTCGTGAATGGAAAATGTTTGTTGTCATGTTATATTTCAAACTTATTTTGTTTTGACTCAATTCTAATTTTTTTCTTTTATTTCAGGAAACATCATAAACCGCAATATTTGATATTGGTACTTCTTTGCGTTATGGTAAGTACTCTTCACTTTAAATTCAACGGCAATGGTGAAAAATAAAAATGTTAACTCAACAAGATTAAGTAATAATTGTAGTCAACCTCAATTTAAGCTGATAGTTAATTAATTATTAACATCAATTACTAATTAAAACTGATATCTATTTGTCGTGGTTACTAATTAAGTTAATTTATGGTTAATTATGTATGCTTATAAATACCTAAAGTTTTGCTTTTGTTTGAGTTATTGTATTTTTTTTCTGATTTCTTTAGGATAATAATATAATAATGCAAGTACTCACCTATGGTTTTGTCACAACTCGGAGACACTGTCTGAAAATCAAAAAATATATATTTTAGAAATGTATTTTGTTTTTTATTACAGATTTTAAACTATTATAATTATTAAGTTATCATTATTTTACGAAGCTTTGGAATTTCTGAAACTTTTATAGCCACTTAGCAGAAACACTGTTTTGAAAAAGATTCTATTGTAACGTCAATACATGCAAACAATTGATAATAAAATAAAATTTATGTCTTGAAATTAAGCTGAATGTTGTCGCCTAACGTGCTTCCTGCTTAAAACTAAGTAATAGGCTTAAAAGAATTATTGAAATTATTAAAACCTTCCTGAGATATGTTTTGTATTACAGATTTTATGTCAGCCAGTCTTCTCCGCACCAAACCTATGTAATGTTGGTGTGAGAAAAACTAAGATTTTTTCACAATTCACGAAAGGGTATCTTCGAATAGAGGCAAACAAAGTTGTGGCGAAGGAAACAGAGGATTATCCGAGTGATCTTGGTATGTTTAAAACTCTGATCTAAAAGAAAGTTGTAATTATACAATTTTTAGAATATTTATACAAGGTGACAGTAGAACATTCCATTTTGTTGTATCATATAAAGAGCGGAAAATTTATTTGTTGGAACCGCAACTACAAGAACCTTATTGCTAAGGTAAGTTTGTGAATTGATTAAAAATAGAGTTTTTAATTGAGCATAATTACAGAGGAATCCACCATCATTAGATTCCTGCAAATTTCAAGAGCAAGTTTCGCCTTTGCATCCAAAAGCAAACGTATACTATTTGACAATCCACAAAAATAAGGAAAGAGTGATACGATTTAACAGAAAAGGTGGATTTGCAAAGTGTCATCGTTGTTGTGATCAGAGGTCAAAAAAGGACCACCACAGGTCACAAATAAATGGGACAACTTCGATTTCAGATAAATTATCATGCGAGATGTGTTGTAATAAACTTTCAAGTGCCGACTTTCTACCGAAGGATGAGTGTGATAGTTCTTTCTTGTCGGACTTTTGCAGGAAAATGAAACGCGTGAAAATCAGAGGCCATAGTATAACTCCTGAAATAGTGGACGTGTGTAAATATGAATGGAATAAGAGCCAATGACTGCGTCGATAATTCAGTACAGTGTGTCAGTATTTTATAGTATCTATGAAGTATGTGAAATTGTACAAAGCTTCCGTCTAAATCGCCGATTTTGCCGATTTTGCCGATTTTACTCTACTCTACTACCAACGGACGTTCGCTTTGTATAAATGTATTGTATGCGATGTACAAACTTATTGTACACCCATATTCATAAATACTATATGAAAAACCCGGTTTCACACATAAGTTGTATAGGTATTGTAATTTATTTTTTATTTTTGCTTCGTGTATTAATTTCAACGTGTCTTTGTAAAGTTTGTATGTAAATTATTAATCGAGTTTTTGACTATGAATGTGAGTGTACAGTCTTATTTTAACCCCTATGGGGTCTTATTTAATTCATCTTATATAACTTTTGTACATTATTATTTATTTTTTTGAATAAGTGTCGAGGCACCCATATTTTACTAAACGTTTTTATCTCATTTAATCGGTGCCTGAATTGCGCTATCCCATGTTTTAATGGTCCGTTGGGCAATCTATCGCAAAATACCAAATAATGAATGAGGCTTTGATAAAATGATATATAATATAGAAATTTTTATATATTATGTGTTATTCGTTGTTATTTGCTATTATGTCAGCCTCATATTGTTATAAGATCTGTGCCATGTAGAGGCAGTGTCCTTAATATTACATTCCAAATCATACATAATTATTACGCATTTACAACAAATACATAATTTAAAATAGCGACAGAGTTTTATTTCTTCAAACCAACAAATTCACCATGCCGACTGCAGGTAAGTTTCTCATAAAAGTGGAAGAAAATAACATTTTTATGCCAAGCTTTAAATCAATAATAATATTCGGGAGTTTTGTTTCAAAAGTTTTGCATCTTTTTGTCTTGGTCATGATAGCAGCTCGAAAAAGTTTATGAATAAAACTCTGCAACCAGCAAATGCATAAAATTACATTTCGAATCATTCGCTCGGCCGACCATGAAACTTTCGCCTTTGTAGCTTCGCTTCCTCGTAACCAATGGTTAACACCCGTGGCCAGTTTAGGTGGCTTTTGCCTTTATCACGGACCATTTGAAGATATTTTTTGAAAAGGATGTCGGTGTTTATCGAATTGCTTCCATTAGAGCCCGCTGAGGGCACGTGTGGACCCAACCGATAAATTATTATGGTCGCTGGTATTCAAATCCCCGGCAGATGCATGATCCACAGATTAACTTGGCAAGGGAAGAGGGCAATTCTTTTGTATTGTTTGTTCTTAATTCTGAACGGGTGTTAGCCTACTGCTTCTCTTCGTTTCAATTGAGCCGTGAAGAATTAGAGCAACCCTCAATCACCTTTTGGGCCAATTGGCCACCTTTCACTGCCACAAAGCATTGTTCGGGCATTAAAACCTTCACTTTTCTACCGGACTTATCACGGAAATTTCATGTTTATTGTTTTGTCCAAGTAATTAAATGTAATTAACATGTTCCCACTTCAACTTCAAGAGACTATTCAGAAAACTGTTAGCTTTATTTCTGTTGACAATTTAATTAACACGAGATTGTTAAAACTAGCTCTCGTGTTGAAACAGTAACAGTGGCGTAGTGGGGTTACATGAAAATAAAATAAAATTTTAATATCAAGTTTTAAGACCTGCGGTCTTTTTCTTTAGGGTTTGATAAATATAAAGTCGGGCTCAAACATTAAAGGATTAAAATAAATCATAATTTAAAGAATGTACGAGTCAGATTTTATCAAAATAACAACAGGAATAATCTGTGTTTGTTTGTGAGGTGCACCTCAGGGGATATCATACCAAAGTACAAATTAATTACATCGCTATCAGTACCTATCATACCGAATTTCCAACATACAGGTCAGTGATTTAATATATCTCCAAATTAAAAAAGAACTATTTTTTGTGTGGCACCATAAACCGTTTTATTGCACGGCTTCTTCGGGGGTAACATGTTTGTAATAAAGCTGTTATAACGTTTTATTATCTTAAACTTAAACAAATGGCTTTTATGCATGTTATAATATACAAGTTTAATTTGAGATAGTTCTTAAATTTCGTTTTTTACTGTTTCAGAGGATCTATAAAAATATTAAATAATCGATAGCCAACGTGAAAGTTGTTGGTAAGAGGTCATTTTTCAAAATTTGATGCTACACACTTTTTAGGCCAGCATATATTCCATATTTTATGATGTTTTTACAAGTGCGATAGATTATGTAATGGATTTTCGAGTTGGGTTGGACATTTTAAACAAAACGGACCTCTGGGGGGCATATCTCGTAAGCACGTTTAGGCTTTAAATCATTTTCGTGATGGTGAAGGTAAGGTAAATTACTGAACAACATTCAACTATTCACCCTAGAAGTATTAATTACGTTTTATGTGAAGAAATTTCTTACATAATATAATTATTGTAGATACAAATCGAGATTTTTATTACTAGTTTGTTTAATATAATCCTGGAGTCATTGTGATTTTGATCCAGATTTGTAGTGATTGTGATTATTTATTACCAACTGTGACATGCATCAATCTCGTTTATCACGATGCTAAGTGCTTATTTTTATTATTATCGCACTAATGCAGTTTTAGACATGTCAATCAATGTTATTTGTTAACAATTATTTTATGTGAAAGACAGTTTAATAATTTAGAAGAGCTGGCCAAAATAAGGTTGACAAAAAAGCTCCACGAGGAGTTGGCAGCTAATGACTTTTAAAAAGATATAGCTGTGTGATAGTGAATAGACAGATATAAACATAAATCATTGTAGCTTAAAGCTGCATACAATGAAATGACGTGGTCATCGGTAGTTGTTGACAATGAAGCATTTATTATTATGAGTTGGCGGACTTCTTGTTCACTCAGTAACACAGTCTCTTCGTGACCTCATGTTCATTAATTATTATGTAAAACAAACAGAAATAAGTCATCTTTTGGTGAGTGTTTGGGTGTCGCTTGTAAAAATTTGTTTGCGAATTCCAAGTTTTTTGTTTGTTTACTATAACGACTTGCTAAAATCCAAGTTTGCGAATGTTACATAAGTAACATAAGAGTTTTACGGATTTTATATGGGCAACTTATATTGACTGCTTTTGTCAACAAGCCTTGCAGAAATTTAAAAAAAGTTCTTTTTTTAAATGTAACTAATATAAAAAATTAATAATTAAGTCGAAGTGGAGTAATTTAAAATAAATAAAAACATCTCAAAAAGATTTAAGTGTAAAAGCAGTTCCTATATCATTCATTCATAGCAAACAATCGTTGAAATTTAAAGGGGCATGAATATATAGCTTTTAGCTTATTTTTTAAATTTCACTTAAAGTATCTTGTTATTGGAAACCTATTAATACAAAATCTCATATGGAAGCGTTCCCCACATTCATTAATTAAAAGTGTACTTTGCTACCTACAAAACTTAGTTTTGACAATTGGTGGTAAAAAAAGTACATATATTATAAAATGATACAAAATACGTTACCTATAAAATATTTTTTATTAATGGTAACATTAATATTTTTCGAAGTATTATTACAAAAAGTGAAAAAAATACAGTGAGATTTACAGCAGATTTATTTTATGTTATAGAATTTGCATTTTTATCTCTGTCAGGCTATACAGTCGCGTGCACTATATTATGGTCGTCAATGTCATTTTATTGAAAAAATTATTTTTGTATAGTTTGAATTCGTGCCCTAATTTCACCTGTAACAGAAAGCTTCTCGACGTTTAAATTATTTTTGACTTTTTGAGACAAAAACAATCAATCACAAAGGATAAATTACAAAAAGTTTGATGAATGACATTGACATTCAAAATATATTGCACACGACTGTACCTCTACTAGTCAAGGGATAAATTATATGACAATTGGGATAATTAGAGTACATATATACAGGTTGTTTCACGTAATTTTACGAGGCCTGCGCCTGTAAGATGCAATCAATAATACATATTCCGATACGAACTCGATTACAAATTTTGAAAAATTGGATAATCTTCTCTAGTTTGTTCACCCTTTCAAAAATTACAACATGTTTAGTTAGTTAGTGATTAAGATAGATAAACTACAATCATATTCATGCCGTCTCTTGATAGAACAAATTATAATTGTTTCTGAAAAACTGCAGTTTATGACTATTAATGAAACAGTGGTTAGTTTGACAACTACTGTCATGGGTTTCCAAAAATTAAATAATTAAATGTGTATTTTTTTGTATCCAGTGTTCTGTGACCTTTGTATATTTGGGTGCGTACATTAGGCGCAAGCTTCGTAAAGTTATGTGAAACAACCTGTATTTTGATTAAATTTTTTTTTTCTATATTTATATCAAGGTTAGTTACGATTTATTAGTTCTTAGACACTGAACGATTTGGACTCCACCGTTTGGGTGCAGTGTTTATTAAATATGCTGGTCTACAGTTTTAATGGCCTATAAAAATTTAAGTGTATCTCATTTACAATGTCACACACGAGGTGTAAATAAAAATTTCGTGACGGAGATGCGTATACTGTGGTTGATTTAGGTGTTGTTTGTTAAGGATTACAATAGTATTTACGGTTGTTTTGTAGTAAAATGTAGGATTTACGCTGTATCAAAGTTGAAAATTTCCCTTGTTTAGTCACGGTCGTCACGTTGTCTCTTTCGGTTTTCAAATCTTGAAGAGAAAATCTTTGATTAAATACAAGACGTCGAAAAAGTCTAAGACTCAGTTCACAATGCAGGAATATGCAGTACAAATGTTTGCTTACATTTCTGTGAAAGCGGGTGTATACATACTTAACGGAACTTAACGAACTTACCGTAGTAATTATCCTACCGGTTTTTGTATTTTTCTCATTATTTATTTGTTGTTTTAAGAATCTACTCCCTCCGTATAATTGTGAGCTACCTGCTATAAATTACTAAGTAATAAACTTAAAATTTATCTTGTAAATTTACTTAATTTGTGCTACATTCGTACGCGCGAAGGCGTAGACGAAGCGTTCAGGTTTTTACAACTCTATAAAAATATTTAATAATGGTAGCTTTAGACAAGAAAAATACGTCGATAAATCTTCGAGATGGTCGTCACTCTCGTTTCGTCTTGTCAAATTATAACGTGGGGTATGAGCCACATCATTAAAAACATAAACGTTTCCTAAAGAGGGTAATTGTAGAAAACCACCCTATAAAAAGTCATAAATCGTTAAAGACTGTCTGCTGAGGGTAAAAGTTAATTGGTCTGACATCAAGCGGTTTCTTTCTGTGGTCCCAATTACGCAACGAAATTGACGTCTTTGTTCAACCTGTTAGAATCTACATGGAAAAAGAGAAAGTTTCGAGACCTTTCGAATTTTTTTTTTTTTTCAAACGATTATTGCCATTTTATCCATAATTGAAGCGTTTAGATATCATTGGGCTGGAAGCGTGGAAGAACAGGGGAATGAAATAACAAAAGATTGATGCCGACTGTGGGGGGTCGTGCTCGAGGCAATGATATTCGATAGAGATGTAACGTAGAGGTTCGTCAACACAAATTTTTAATTGGACTCCAAATTCCACCTTGACGTCAATTTTTTTAGTCATAAATTAATTTTATTTGACACATATATGAAATATTTAGTGTTTTGAATTCACGATTTCGGACACTTTTATAGACATTGTGATAGACATCTAAAGACATTCAAAGTCCGGTACTTGAGCATTTGCGCACTATTAATTTTATCTATCTGATTGGACTTGAA